CCCATTGTGCCAAACCCAGCAACCCCTGGATTATTACTTCCCACTGCCCCGTTCCCCACTAAGGTATTGCCACCATTCAGGACTGGACCATTTGTAGGCAACACCCCATTAACATTTTTCATATCACTACTAAACGAACCAACGCCAACCATGCCTCCAGTGTCATTCAGTTGGTTTGACATCATCATCTCTTGTAAGATTTTATGGACGGAGCTCTGTGGCTCACTTGGATCAGCATCAGGAGCTGTTTGTTGCATAGACATGTTTGCTGGAGAGTTTGTAGAACCTATGTGATTGGCAGCTGCTAAGCCACTGTGTGATGTCTGAGAGGGGTTATTAGATGACGGAGGAGTTGGTGTCTGAAATGACGGATTGGATTGTGCCTGCGGAATGGTACTTGAGGAACCAGGAGATGGCATCTGAACAGAATTTCCTCCATACGGACTGCTTGCGTTGTTGATAGAATTTTGCTGCCTGGAGTTCATGGAATTCTGGTGGAGAAGTCCAGCAATAGTGCTGCCAGAGGTTGAAGTGGATGCTGCATTGAGCGAATTATTTACACTACCCACACCATTGCTAGCAGGAAGCTGCATGGCGGTGGCCTGGACAGAACTTTGTTCATTGTTGGAGTTCTGGGTCATAGTTTGCTGCTGCTGTTGTTGTTGTTGTTCATCAGGTTGTTGAGCTTGTCCCTGTAATCCAGATGAAACACTTGGCCTCCTAGGGAACTTGGACAAACTCTCTGAGACAGAGAAAAAGAGGTGATATAAAATACTGATCAAGTAGCATATTCTGAGATATACATTATAGCCAAATGAAATTAAAGTGAAAATCTGCACAACCATGAGCGGTCCAGCTGCGTTTTCAAGCATTTAAATCGTCGTGGATGATAGTTTACCTTGCAACCATGGGAAAATTTTCAACTCAATTAAATCTCATGCAACCAAGTGGGAGCCAACTATAGAAATCATTTTTGTTAGACTAATATTTTCTAAAAAGCTCAAATTATGTGATCCAAAGCCACTATCTATATTTGGATGATCTCCACAATCAAATCCTCATGCATACGAGAAACATGCATAAAACCTACTAACAGCCTGTCTTCCACTTTTTTAGATGTCACAACAATAAACTATTTTGTGGATTCTCTTTTCTTTTATCTGTTACATTCCATTGTTGGCAACTGTAGAGGAAAATGATGTTTCAAAGTAAAAGAATAGCTTACACTCGTTATTGGGAAGATTTCTAGCTGGGTTTACTATAATTAGAGAAAGATATATTTTAAGAAGCTCATGGAAATTGCTTTCAACTTTTTAGATGTCAGAATGATAAATTATGTTAATATTCCTATCAACCAAGAAAGAAATCTTCCTACTGCCAAACTTGTTTGGGAAGATTTCTTGCTGGGTTTACTATAATTAGAGAAATATATAGTTTAAGAATCTCAAGGAAATTGCTTTCCACATTTTTAGACGTCAGAATGATAAATTATATTACTATTTCTATCGACCCGGAAGGAAATCTTCCTAATACCAAACTTTTGTCCTCTTACTATACTTTCGCTTTCTAAGACATGATCTCAACAAATTAGTTGCTGAATATTTCAAAATAATTGTCCATGCCACTTTTTACCTGGGCCCTCAAAAGGAAAACAACAATGAACTAAAGATGTCCGTGGAGACAAGGATTTAGACAAATGATCCACAAATTTGGGTATTGAACAGCAAAATTATACATCATTTAACAGATAAAAATAACTCAGTTTATGTGATGTTATTATTAAAGCCACAAATGCTATAGTGTACCATTCTACTTCTGATCGTTCAACAAATTATGAAAGACAACAGAACAAGGAAGAAACATTGATATTATAAACGCAACACCACATTTACTGCATTTTAGTTAAGTTGGTAAGACAAATCTAGAAAAATTTACCATAGAAATATTTTGTACAAGTCTTCCTCGATATTTCCGGGAGTGATTATCTCCGTATGGAAAAGACAAGGGGTATTACAACTACATAGGAAACCATATCCTTGTCGAATATTTTTCTCTGGGCAGAAACAGGTTTGGCAGGTTCCTGGAGTTGTGAGGAACAAGGGAGTCAAGGGAGGGTGCTGTTCCTTGAAGGCTGGGAAGTCAATGGGTGGTGGAGGCTCCTTTAAGCTGTCAGCATGGTAAGAGACCAAAAAAAAATATAAGAAAGAATATAAGTCGTAAGGAATCCATCTGATCTGACATTGAGAAGTCCTGAGCCCATTCAGAGCCCAAGAGAGACAGCTGCAATCAACCTTCCCCCCCCCCCCCCCCCCCGCTGGTCCATGTCTATGGTAGTCCATCCTGCAGGGTCAGCCTCTCCATTGAAGTGTTGGTGACAGATCAAGTAATGCCACGGGGTGTGAGAAGAAACCCACGTATGCATTGACTCTTGGATCAAGCAGGAAGAGTCAACCAGGTTTTTCAAAAGCTGTTAATAAAGGAGAGCAGAAAGGAAAAACCCATGAAGGCACCACATCAAGCTAAGGGTCTGGACCCGTTTCTAAACCTAGGCTGATGAAAGAAAAGGACAAAAATGGATTAAAAACCTAAAGCCCATTTCAACCTAACCCAAGGTTCAATCTAGAAAAAAGAGATCCTGCTTTAAGAGAAGAACCAAAATATTAAGCTTTCTTCTGGATTGTCTTCGTCATCCTCAATGGATTGCTCTTACCCACAGTCTTTTGAAGGCTTGGATGCTTAGCTGTTTTGAATCCAGTCAAGCTAGTTTGGACAGCACCATGTTCTTCCAAGGAAGAAGGTGCACCATCCCCCATGTAAGAACCTCTCTCTATATCTCTATTTTGCTTCCTAATCCGTTTACATTTCTTCTCCAAATCCTATTCAGTGCAGTTGGGCTCTTGAAGAGGTGGGGAAAGGTTTATAAGGGAGGGGGAATACCATCGAATTTGAACAGCTGGTGGAATGACCAACCAGGTGGTTCTGAGGTGCCAGCACAAATATCAGAATTGCAATGGGCTTGAATTCTGTTAGATGACTTGACCTTGGGACGAGTTCTGAGAGCTTGGAGAGCCAAGCTATGGATTTGTTCAGGATGTTCAAAGAAAGAAGCACTATAAAGTGCCATAGCATGAAAGCAAACAAAAGAGGAAAAGAAACAGCAGGGAATTGAAAAGATTTGAGTGCTCAATTAACAATGAAAAGAAGAGTAGAGTTGGAAGGGGAAAGAGAAGTGGGTGATTTGATTGTGCCAGTTGAAAATGATTATTAGAATTATCTCCTGGAATGTCAAAGGTTTCAATGATACCGCTGACAGAGCTGTTATTGAAGGGGCTATGAAAAAATGGGGTGGTGAAGAGAAACCAAAGTGGAGAACATGACTGATCACATTGGTAAAGGATTATGGGGACTCGGGGATGTTAGCTGGTATGCAGTCTCCCTGTGGTAGAAAGTGCAAGAGGCATCCTGGAGATTTGGGAGCCGCGAGCTTAGTTTCATTAAAAAGCTTAGAGGTGTTGTTTTGTCAGGACAGGGAGCTTCTTTTAGAAGATTTTGATAAGGTGAGGCAACGTTGCAATCTTTGATTGATTGTGGGAGGCGATTTCAGTATGGTTCTTATCCCCTCCAAGAGATCTTGTGAGCTCTCTTCCGGGGGTTGTTCCCAGCAATTTCTTGATATTTATCTTCAAATTAAAACTAATTGATCTTCCGGTAATGGCCAGTAGGTGGACATGGAGCAACTGTAGAGACCCACCCTGTAATGTTTTTATTAATTTTACGAATTATTTCTTAATTAAAAATAGTTTTAGTGAAAAAAGAAAAAACAGAGAGGGAGAGCAGAGAAACCAGTCTAGTCCGTACCAGACCAAACCAATCTAAATCGACTCAGTCTGGTCCAGATCAAATAAATTAGATATGGTCTTCAGTTCAAAATTAGATTAGCAAAAAAATCTGGTCCACTTTGGTCCAATCCCAAACGGATGAGAACTCCTAATTATGTTACTGACAGATATGTATTTCAAGAAAATGATACTAACAGATATGCATTCAAAGTCCCTTTCCAAAGAGGAAGAATTAAGAGTGTTGCCTTCTCACAATAGCAATAAAACTGCCTTCTCACAATAGCAATAAAACTCCTCAGCCTAATGGGTTGCCAATGGCTTACGACTAGAGATTCTACAATGTGATAATCAAGGTATAGATCTCTTTTCCTTCGGGAATTCTTTTTTTACAGGCAAAATGGCAATAAAACTCCTCAGCCTAATGGGTTGCCAATGGCTTACGACTAGAGATTCTACAATGTGATAATCAAGGTATAGATCTCTTTTCCTTCGGGAATTCTTTTTTTACAGGCAAATTTGTCAGTCAGAATGCTCCTTGTCTGGTCTTTATCCTTGAACCAAGGGAGTAATAGAGTTGAGACTTCAGGCTAATTAGTTTGGTGGGTACTATATACAAGTTGATCGCAAAGACGCTTCATATAAGGGCGTGGACAGTCTAGAGCTCAGTAGTTGGGGAGGCACAACATGCTCTTGTGGGTGGGAGACAAGTCCTTGATGCGTGTTTGATGACAAATGAAGTGGAGGTGAGCAAAACAAGAAGATATTAAAGTAAACATATTTCAATAAGAGATATTTATGCAATTATAAGGTAAACCTTAACGAGATATAAACATTGCAATATGTCTGCTTTAGCATCTTCTTATTTTGCATCAGGTGGACTACCTATTGCCAAGTGGGTGACGGGTATACTCAGCAACCTATATTAAGAAAGCTGTAATCACGCCTCATGATCTTTTCTTTTCCACCTCATGGACAGAACGGATTTGGGGGGAACATGGAGAGCTTTGATGAAAGTTGTGAGGCAACCTCATCTTTTCTATGATTGTAAATGGAGGCCCATCTGAACTCGTCACTTCTTATAAAAGTTTAAGACAAGGTGACCCGTCCTCCTCTTTATTTATTTATTTATTTTGAAATAAACATTCTCCTCTTTATTGTTTATTCTCATTATGGAAGCTTTAAATCATATTGTTATCAGAGCAAGTGATCTCTTCATGAGCCTATCAGTTGACATCATCAAACCATGACCGATTTCCAAACATGGTAAGAAAGGGATAGGAACCTTTAATCAGTACTAGGATCAAGTTCACAAACTACCCCATCCAAATCCCTAACTGCTACCGCTGAAGAGTACTTACAGATCCAGGAACTTCAATAGCAACTCATTACTTCTAACAACGTGAAGATCTCTTAACCTCTCAGCCCCATATTAGCTCTAAATTTAGCTGAGACTAAATTGTTATGCACACCAAAATCATTAACTTTTGCAAATGCCACTGGGAAAACAAATAAATGCCATGACAGCACATTTCAAATGCTACAAGTGAAGTATTGATAAATTGAGCAACATGTGACAGCTCATATTAAAGTGATAAACATCCAGATTGACAACGTTACCCATTGTATTATGGATGTTGTTCTAGTGAACACAACAAACAGGATGATATCAACAACGGAAATATCATTTCCATTGTCAATAAGGTAGAAAGAGAATATCAAACAGGGGAAGAGTGCGTGATGAGGTACAAAGAAATTATGCATTCATATTTATCTCAGTAGTTGTCACTTAGAAAGCATTTATAAGCAAAAACAAAGAAAATAAGGCACCATTTGATATAAGAAATTATTTTCTAGTTTCCATTTTCTAAATTCATGTGCCTATACACGTCTTTAATTGATTGAAGTATGTTGTAAAATGATCAAATTACAATTCCAGCACAACATCCAACAATTTGAAATAAAGGTTTTATGTAATTTTTACATAGCTTTGTATTAATTTAATACCTAGATGTTTTTGGTGTTAATTTGCATTAGAATTCATCAAACTAATTAGGTATCGGGTTGAATATATTACATAAAAAAGTTCTGATTTCTATCCTGATTCATACTTCCAAAAAAATCAAATATGCTTTCTAAATCTAAATTAGAATAATAATTAGAAATATCTTGATTGAATCTTCTATACAAAATTTTCTTGATCACCTAAAAATGACACATTATCTGTATAGAATATCCACTAGATTATGAGAGTTGCTTTTTTCAATTGGGTTGGATCCAAGAGGTATACAATGATTCAGAGAAATATGATTCAGAAAGTTGTAAGAGTTTCAAGATGGAAACTTAAATCAATATCAACTAATTTCAACAACTTAATAAACCAATTGATTTTGACTAGAAACTGATTTTCTAGAATACAGTAAAAACAACATTTTAAAATTTTGCAACTCCCTCAATATCTTCACTATTGTTCTCTTCATTATTAACCAAGTAGTATGCTTTTATAAATGAAATACCAATAAATCATAAAAATGAAAACTAGAAAACATTTTTATGTATCAAACAAAGCCTAACTATTCTCCCAAATTATATGAAGTAGCAGACTTTTTTTATCTGAAAGGATTTTCTGGCCTCATCCATAGGAAATAATATTTTCAAAAAAGCACATCGTACGTTTACTCAATAATCGAACAAAATTTCAGTTTTCAAAAGACATTTAGATTACAAAAGAATGAAATAGATGTGCATGCAAATGCATTTTCAGTTACCTAACAAAAACCAGTATAACTTACCGATAGGTCCAGTTCCTGTTTCTCGGCTGTAATCAATCAAGTCCTTCATACTGTTAACCACCTCTGATATCTGCAAAGTAAGCCCCCAAGCAAGTTAATTAATATAACAAAAAAAAGGACTAGTCAGATTAAACATAAAAGCCATTAATATAATTCCCTATAAGCAAACCTACAATAATTTTTTTCCCGAAAATCAGCACAACCTAAAACAATTACCGGTGCCTTATTTTTTCTTGCCATGTTAGTCCTTTGTAATATGCAATCATGATAAAGATTAGGCAGAAATTTACTAGAATTACAGTATATTAATATGGAAAAGCCAGATGCCAACAAGAAACCAGTACCGTCAAGGGCCAATATGTGAATTCTACTTGCAGGCTAACTACAAGACAATATAGCAAATCACCTGAAGGCACCGTATATATCTTTTTGTATATCCCAAATCATTTACTAATGGTACTTCCAGAGCTTTCGCCAATTGCCTTGCTGATGCAAGAAACCTGAAGCACAATAACCAATTAAATCAATGAATACCAGTAAATACAAAACAAAAGAAAATCAGCCACTCAAAATACCACAGAACCCATGGAAGCATATGAAATTCCTGTACTGAAAATTGTCTTCCCATTTGGGATTCGCAGAAGTGAATCAAACACTACTCATTTCTATAGCATATGAATAAATCTACAGAATTTTATGAATACCTGGACAAAGGGAAAGCAAGATGCTACTAGATAACATGATTCAGTACATTTTAAAGGTTCTTTAAAAATACTCCTACATTTTCAGAATTCTCTCGCCAGAATAGGTATAGCACCAAGAAATGGAAATCAATAGACTTAGTCTCCTATGTCTTAAATAATTTCCTAACAAAGTTAACAAGAAAAATAGTATCTATCCTTACTTTCACAAATGAGATGAATGCATGTACTACAAAAATTAATTGGAAATATAAAAGCAATTTCCCTTCAGAGAAGCAGTCTAAATTGTACATAAATGACAGCAGCTTTATCATCAGCAGCATCAAGAGCAAGACTGAATAAACAACAGAACAAACATGCTTTTGTCGAAGGGAAAACCAAACATATGTAGAACGAAGTACATGCAAGAAATAGCAACAGACTATCTCCCTTGATCCAGCAGATTCACATATTGAAAGAAGACATTAATCACTGATCAAAAGCAACAACTTAGAACAAAGGAAATTTGCCAATTTAAGTGAAGTCTAATTAAAAGAAAATTGCAACAGAAATGTACTCACATATTACAATTATTTTGTAGGTCGGGAACAGACAAATTAGATGATGCATTTTGAGTAGCTGCCTGATACTTTTGAGCTGCAGTACCAAGCTGGCTAACCTACATAATGCACCAAAACAGTCAGTCAAATATACCTAGGGTTAAACAAGAATACTAATGAGATTCTGAACCTGCCAACCGACACTTATTATTATTTGTTTACCAGAAAAAGAGAAATGAAAGCCACTTCCTCAGAACTACATTCATAGGACAACTATTTCACATCCAAAACATGCTACAAGGAATTGACAAGTTAAAGATTAAAAGATAGAAGGGAAAAAGAGATCAGAGAAGTAAGTCATTATACAACTTGATCCAGTGCAATGAAGGGGAGCAGAAAATGCTAGGTAAAAGCATTCAAAATTACGAATTTATCTTGATCACATGAAGCTACAAAAATAAATTAATTTCTCGAGATATGCAATGTAACCAGCCATGAAGTCCAGAACAGAAGTTTCAATTCTTCAGCAGTTTATTGTGCTCAACAGAAGTTCCTGAAGCAAGTCTAGTGCAAACAGTAGAGTACTCTCTATGCAGAAAGATCAGGACACAAGGAGACCCTCCGTTTGCAATGAATCTATTCTATTCAAAAGAACAAAGTGTTAATGACAAAATAATACAGGGCTTGGTTCAAAGATGGTCCAACCAACAGAAGTAATAATCAGGAATAAACATCGACTTAGAATTCTAGACAAAAAATGGAAATTGTTCAATAAGTTACCTGAGGAATCAACAGTCTTCGAGGAATGAGCTCTTCGTGACGCCGAGCACAAAATTCCCAAGAGCATATCTGAATTGGGTGGAAATAAAAGTTGCAGAGGATAAGAAGCAGAACAAATATCAAATAGTGCCACAGTAGAAAAGACTTTTTTTGTAACCTTGAGATCTGAAGAGAAAACAATCCGAAGTTGGCCTTCACGAACAACCCGAAGTTGCTCAAAAACACTTTCCTGTATTGCTTTTGCATAGTCCAAAACAATTTGACCAGATGAGTTCTGGTATTCCCGGGGCATATCAACATAGAGAAGTTCCTCTAGAGTACCACTTTCATACTTGATTTTAAAAAGCCTTGGTAGAACCTCCACAGTTGCTTCTGAAAGGCAGTACCCGGAAAAAATCAGATGCACATAGGGGATTAATAGCCTAAAGAAACTAGAAATGACATTTTTAATTCAAACCAGCATATTCAAAAAACTAACTTGATAGACTAGGGAAAGAAGGAAAATTAATTTTTTATTCTACCAACTTACCAAAACCACGACCTGGCTTTCTATTGCATATCTCGCAATGCCATACATCCTGCAAAATATACAAAAACTACAACTGAAAAAATGAACTTCAAACATAAAATTATAAGAGATTGCCAAGATGATAAAGAAATAACAAGGATACTAACAAAAGTGATCTAAAATCACTTCAGACATTTTTTAATCACTTACAATATGGAAGGATAGCAAAATAGCAAAGGAAAGGCAATAAGAATTTCTGAAGGAATGGAAGAAACATATTTTTCTTGTTTAAATAACTAAAAGCCGAAAAAATAAGAGAAATAAAACATTGTTGTAATCTTTTATTAAGGAAATTATCCATGACAAGTATATTTTCAACTGTGTTCTCTGTTAACAGTTAACAAAAAGGAAAGACACTCTAGGGTTATAATCCACAATTTATGTTTCGGTTTAAAATTTTTTTCGTTTCTCTTTTTTTTCTGTCCAATTTGAGAAAAAAAAAATTACATGTTTGAGCAGATCCTTTTCCTCCAATTCAGAAGAATGAAAAAATAGGTGTTTGAAGGAAAATGAGGGACGACCATCATCAGTCTCTTTCTGCTTCTCCTTTTCTTTTTATTTTTTATTTTTTAATCTAAAGAAAACAAATTACGGGAAACATCTCCTCATCCCATTCCCTCAACTTCCCTGAACTCAAACATAGTGATAATGTTTAGCAAATTTAACAGAGTGTCAATGTTTAGAAAGTTTTTAGAAGGGACCTGAGGAAACACCCCAGTTGTTTGACGTCCATTGCCGTACATAGACACACACCACTTCTTTTTGGCATTGGGAGCAAAGAAGTCAGCAACAAATTTTCTCCAGAATTCAATGTTGTTGTCCTACAACAAAAGCACGGTGATTACTAAGCATGACAGGAGAACAATACCTGCAAAAAACATATCGTTCAACTAAGAAAGAGCTTACTTCAGGTCTCTGTTGCTGATGAGACATATAATGTGTTAGACGCCGGGCACACATCCCAGGTTCATATACTTGCTTCAGAGGTGGTCTCAAGGGCAAATTCTGCTGCTGAAATTGCTGTGGTAACTGGGGACGTTGCTGAGGCATTGCTTTCAAAAGTTGCTGCTGCTGGTGGTGTTGTTGGAGCTGTATGAGTCTTTGTTGTTGCAAAAGATTAATTTGAGCAGCTGCCTGGGAAGGTTGTCGTGACATATTGAGATATTGCTGTTGCTGCTGCTGCTGCTGCTGCTGCTGTTGTTGCTGTTGATGAAGAAATAATGATTGCTCCGTGTGCTGGGGTTCCATTTTCACCGGCGGCAAGCCCCTCATACTCTGGATTCGCTGTGGTTCCAATTTTACAGGACCAAGATTTCTCAATGACGGTAACTGTTGTTGAGGCTGCTGTTGCCCATTTTGATCATTAACTACCTGAGGCTCCAACTTGACAGGCCCAACACCAGCTAGCCCTCCACGGAGTGATTGGAACTGTTGTTGCTGCTGAACTTGCTGGGCACTATGAGAAGCAGAGAACTGTTGCATTGATTGCTGGCTGTGCTGGAAATTCTGAGTCTCAAGCTGTTGGGACTGTTGTTCTGGCAATAGCTGGCTACCAGAAGGATTTGAAAATTGTTGACCCTGAATTTGTGCAGATGAACCAGGGTTCACCATGTTCGACGGTACAAATGAAGACGGTGTGTTAAAAGCCATTCCATTGCCAACACCAGAAAGAGGATCTGACTCAGCCCCGGTATCGATACCTCCACGGTGACAACTTCCAGGGCCGGGAAGAGCCGGATTAGGACCCCCATTTCCAAAAGACTGATTAAGGAGGGCTGAAACGTTGGGTACATTACCAAGCATATTCATGTTACTGAACTGAGTACGAGGTGACACAAGTGAAGGGAATGCTGATTGAGAAGGCAGAGGACCCCCTTGGCCTCCTAACATTCCTGAATTTGATCGCAGAAGAGAAGGTGAAACAGACTGGGCACCACCAATTGGTGTGGGCGGCCCCGATGGTACCATTTTTTTTCCCAGAATCACGATCCCAAAATCAATCTCAAAGTACAACTAACT